TAGGGATAATTATAAAATAAATAAAATTATAATAAAATGTAATATTTCATAACTAGGAAAAGATTAAGGAATTAAGAGATTTTATATCACTATGGTAACAATATATCTTTTAATTTATTATTTTTTTAATTATTATTATTCTTTCTATTATAATAATTTTGGCTTGATTAAATTCTATTAATATAGAGCTATTATTCTGATAACTTCTATATTACTATGAGTAATAACTATTATTATTATATTTATTTAATATTTTCAAAAATCTTTCTTATTTATATATAGTAATATCAAAGTAAATAGCTAATTTTTAGATATTCTCTAAGTTTTCTGATACTTAATAACTTATTTTCATTTTTATAACTGATTTAAGATTTTCTATAAAGTATATAACTTGATTTAAGTTACTTATATTATGTAATTTAATTAATTATATTTCTGAATTTAATATTATAGTCTTGTATTAAACTGATTTGATAAAGAAAATATAATTATCTATAAAGATATTATTAATAATATAATAATTAAAATATATTTTTAAGTATTATAATAAATATTTTTCAATTCTTAAATAATATAATATTATCTTGAGTCTTATATTTATTTAGATATTAATGTAAAATTATATTAGTAAGAGAGATAATAATATATTATACTTGAATTTTCTTATCTATTATTTCTTATACTAAGAATATTATTTTTAACTTATAAGATCTAAACAAATATATTTTTTATTAGTTTCTCTGAATAGATAAATAGTTTAATTAAGAGATATAATAAGAGTTTTGAATTAGAAAAATTATCTTTTTTTATTATTTTAATAAGATCCATTATTTTTTGCATAAATTAATTAAATTATTTACTATTTATTTTGATAAGATTTTAATTTAAAACTAAAATATATATATATATAAAATATTTATAATATGTAATATAATATAAGATTTTAAAGAATAATATTTATAATAACTATATCTATTATTATCAAGTTGTAAGATTATTTTATTAATAATTATAAATAAGATAAAATATAGTATGAATAGTTTTAATTTATAAACTTATAATTTTATTATTTAAATAGTATTCAGATTTAAAATTAATTTATAAAATAGAGAATATATATTTATAGAAAAAGAAATAAATATGAAATATAAATAAATTATAAATAATTAATTTAATAAAAGTATATATTGTTAAACAGAATTAATTATTTTAATTCACATCTTCAGAGAATAATTAATTATAATTTAATAAATTATAAATATAATAAATAATAATATAAATAAATATAAATAATAATAAAAGAAAATAAGTAAAAATATAAAAAAAATATTAATTAAAAATATTAATAATCTAAATTAACAATAAGAATATATATGATAATTATTTATGTGACAATATGATAAATCTAATTAATTAAATATATGGATAATTATTTATGTATCCAATATGAAATTGATTTTTAAAGAAAGTAATACAGAAGCTAATCTGTTATACAAATAAGGCAAAATAAAGATCTAATCTAAAAGAAGATAATCTAATCAAAATTATTATATTGTAATTAATTATAAAAAAAAGAAACATGAAAAGAATTAACTTGATAATTTATGAAAAATTCATGTTACAAGAGATTTTTATTAGAACAATAGAGAAGAAATAAGAAAAAATTAATGTAAAGTTATGTCAAAAATTAGTATAATTAATGCTAAAATATCTTGAGTTAGTTATAAATAATAAAGAGTGCAAAACAAAGTATTTGTACTATAAACTAGTTATAGTTAATTTTTGAGATTTTTTAAATAAAAATTGCATAAATTAAATCACATTATTTGATTGTCATTTTTTTTCATCACTATAATAAATTATTAATAGTTAATATTAGAAAAATAATAATACTAAAATCAAATAATCAAAATAAAGATTAGCTTATCTTTATATATGTATATATAATTCAGAATTGCTTTCTATATCAGTGTCTTAGGTGTTGTCTCCAGAAAAAATTTCAGAGAGATATATGAAAATAATGCTAGTTCTTTGACTGCTGGTTGCTGGTAATATTTTCATTTTAAGATAGCTTTAAAAAGAGAAACTATAAATACAATTTGTTAAATACTGAGAGATCAAAAAACGGACACTCGTGCAAAATACTTTCAATTCGAATTTTATTTATCTATAATGATTTAGATTAAGAAGGCATGATATAGTTAATGTAAGATCAAATTTGAGATTAAAAATTGTATCGCTTAATTTATTAATCTTTTCTGCAGATTGACTTACGCGAGAAAACAAAACGCGACTTTTTAGAAAATCCCTCTTTAAGAGAAATGAATCCGAGTTAAAATTTAATGTTTTTATTTTTGTCATAACATATGTTTAATAAATAAAAATTTTAAATTTTTAAATAATGTTTTAAATCATTTAGTTTATATAAGATATTGTATAATAAAAATTGTTATACAAGAAGCGAATTAGAAAACTAGCAATCTGTTTGAGCTTGAATTGATACAATTTTTTTTAATTACAAATTGCATTCCATGTTTATAATTGATTTTTGCTATAGAAAAAACTTAAAGTGACTCATTTCTCACATTCAAATGAATTCTGTTTCACTTAGCCATCCATCTAAGAACGAGAAAATTAACTTTAAATGACATGTAAATGTTTTTATTAATATCGATCATTAACTGATATTCCGGTAATTTATGATAAGGATGTGTAAGATAATTCAGATTCTATTTGTAATCTGTCGTCATAAGAATTTATGTTAATCAATTTCATACAAGATAGTATGTAGCAATGTTTAACTAATTGTTATTACAAATATTGCAAATAAATTTTATTTTATAGTCTATTATACAGTCTATATATATAATATACATAAATTTTTTTTTAATTTTTTTGTTTTTTGTGACCACCCTCCCCCGAGCGGTCCTCGAGACTTCTCTTTTGTCCAGCAAAGGAAGAAGTCTCGAGGGACTCCCCTCGGTGCGCAAGAAGTTTGCCGATATATTCAGCGACAAACTTCTTGATACGCGACCGAAGGGAGTCGGTCACGATATACACCCCCTCCTGCTGGCGGCGGAGTTCTTTCTCCACGACCAGATGGGCCAGCTATTTATAACAAATAATTTTAGGTTAGAATTGTCAACAATAATAATAATGGTTAATGAATTTAATAACAAGTTTTCTCTCACCCTCCTGGCGTGTTTTTTGAACTCCGCCACCGTAAACTCCCCCTTCCAGCGGCTGCAACGATCGATCACCAAGCTTTGGAGCTGTTTCAATACGGGAAGTTAATATATAGAATTTCTAAAAGATCCAATAAACAATTTAATAAATTCAATAAATAACACGAATAACTTTCTACCTTTGCCTTAAACTCCTCCTTGCTCGTTGCAGCCGCCAGTTCCTCCTTCGTCCCTTCTGAAACTTGTGGCAATGAGATGGGATCAGTTAGTGACGAAGTTGGCTGTTGTGGTTGAGGTGAATTTATTTGTGATGCTGTTGTTGTTATGTTATTATTGATTACTGCTGCTGTATCCGTACTTTCACTTTTATTTAGATTTCTTGATTGATGATGCGCGACTGTTTGTAGAATAGGTTGATACCGATCTGTAGATGTGACTGTTGGTCCATTGCTATTATAACTATTATACGATGGCCGATATGAATCAATTGAAGATGATCTGTACGAATCATAAAAGTCACGACTGGATTCATATCTTGGCCTTTGTTCTTGATCATTATTATTGTTAGTGTTATAATTGTTACGGTAATGATTACGGTTATAACGATAAGGAGTGTAATGCGTGTGAGATCTTGAAAAATTGTGATGACGATTGTTGTAGTAATTTCTCCTCCGAGCTTGTGCTTCTTGCTCCTCGCGTTTTCTTTTTTCTTCTTCTTCTTTTCGTTTTTCTTCCTCTATTTCTTTTGCTTTACGTGCTTCCTCTTCCTCTAAGAATTTCTGTTCTTGTTCGAGTTGCTCTTTCTAAGGATATTATTCATTGTCACAAAAGTGCAAAAGTATAAATTTATAAAATAAAATAAGTTTTTGTTTGATAATATACTTACAGTCTTTTTTGGGCATCTGCATAAAACAGTCAGACTTCCCCATTTTTCTAGGAGCTATAAAGTGAAAAATAATTTTTTAGCCAACAAATAAAGAAAACCAACATAAATTATTAAAAAAATGCTTACAGCATCGACTAACTCTTTCATCTGTGGAGATCGTTCCTTGAATATCTCCATTTTCTCTTCAATTTTAGCGTCAGTTATGGTATTTCGAGCCAAAATTGGTAGTTTTGGCAACACTTCTAAAGTCTAGTAAAAAATATTAAAGGATGATGAAAATACATTATTAACATTATTTATTATTATTATTATTATAACGCTTCATAATAAAAAACATACTTTCAGTACGATCTCATCATCCTGTCTCCATTCGACTAGGTACGCCTTTAAAACAAGTAACCCATGAAGATGCTTAAATTTGCTGAAAACGGCATTGTTATCAGTGATCTATCATAAACGAAGATTCACTATTTAGTTTATGAATATTAAGAAATAAACTTTTTATAATTGTATTGGAACCATAAGAAATTATTCATACCTCAAGACAATGTAGTATGTCAAGTACTTCATTGCGACTATGTAGCGTATGAATCATTGTTCTCATAAACTCGGGAACATCTTCTGGATCTTCGATTGGGACGATTTCGTCATCATCAGATTCATCATCAGACCCTTTTTGACCACCAAGATATCCACAGCAATTCGCTTCGCCGCAGTAGCATTTTTGAGCGGCCATTCTAAGAGAGATTGTAATTATGGATTAGAACATTATTTGAATCTACAAATGTTATTCAATCTACAGATCATTGCATGCACATGTATTTTGTGATGACGATCAGAGAATCGATTTATAGAGCTCCCTAAATTCGAATCATCTTTAGGAACATAGAGCAAAACTTACCCTTTCCCGTCTATATTATAATCAAATGTAAGTTCTTCTCCCAATATGATATCACGAAGAGCGAAGATTCCGATTCGCGTTCTCTTATTGACAATCCATTTCTGGATAAAGCAGTTTGGGTTGCAAGAATGGTTTATAAATCTTGCTATGCATCCTTTCTTAGTTGCGTCGATAATCTATTCATGAAGATCTTTGAAATCAGATGATGTATCAAATATAAATAAATTGTAATAAAAGAGCTACCTCTCCACTTGTCAAACTCATAAAATAAAAATGCTCAAGTCCTTTTTTTGCATAGTCTATCTGTCGCTGGCGGAAGACGTCTTTTGGAATAATCTCGCCGGTGTATTCGATGATGAATGAATCTCTACAGATAGCAAGTGGAAAGAAATAAGAGAATAAATTGAAAACACCATATTTGACTAATTCCTTCGAGACTAATAGTAAGCATATATTACTTTTTAATGGGTTCCATAGCTCGTAATCCATAACCTTTAGACTTCGTCTTAAATACATCTATGTTAGCATATTCAGCTTGCTGAAATCTAAAATCAGAAGACAATTAGTGATCGGTAGCATTTGTTGAATTATATTTGAACAAAATTTTTCTAAAAATGTAAGGATCGCAGACAGTTAAAAGCTTACCTTCTATTCCTACAGTAATCACCAATAAGACAGTCGTTTGTGCATTCGATGAATAACACGCGATTAATGCATTGTGAGCCACATGCATTGTCGATCGAATCACCTTTATTAATAAAGTAAGCGAAAAAAATGTTCCTTCAAGATTAGTTTATGTGTACTAGCCACAAACGAATAAATCTTTCTAATCTTAACGGAGATAAACTAAACGGATAAAAGAGCTAATTGGTATATCTCGATGCTGTTAATTCTCAACACAGTTTAGATAATTTCTTTCTTTAGCTTAGAAAATGATGTTATCAAATCAACGCATTGTGTTAGGGAAATTATTTAACGGAGGTGAATAGGATCAATAGCTTCAAACAGCGTTATATCCGTTCGTTTGCTGTGTCCGTTAACAAAAATTTTACCTGGTTGGTATTCACAAACACAAACTCCGTAGTCTTCTTTATTCGGTTGATTCACTTTAGGGTGTAACGTTCGGTTATGGAAGTTGCACGCAATTTGTTTGTACGTTTTGTTAGCTTCCTTGAGCGCAGAAGGATATTCGAGAAAAGTTTTATAGTTTGCTATGATAGAGGAGGTAGTGTTGCTGGTAGTAGACATTTTGAGTTTCTTGTGAGCAAAAAGTATAGATTTTTGGTTTTGATAAAAGTTGAAGGTTTTATGCGTGCAAAAAGAAGATAAAAAAAGCGACAGCAGAAAAAATTTTGAGAGGTAGCTTGATTATATACCAATGCTGATAGAACAGGGGATTCAAAAAAAATTTATGTAAAATCAATGTTTCATCAGAAACAATTTGGTGTAAATGCAGATCGGGAATAACTTTCAGGTTCGAATTTTCGTTGATAATTTTTTCGGCTAGATGACTCCAAATTTGTCATTCAATTATCGTGCAATTCGCATATCGACGAGAATTTCCGTGTGATATGTCATGATGATGTCGATTATCTAATGTCATTATGGCGCAAATTTTTTTTGAACATGATTACTAGCAAATGTTCTGGTTTATGTAAATCTCGTGAGCAGAAGCGCCTAGATATTAAACCATGGCGCAATTATGATAAACTAGCTCTACTGGCAAAATGAATGCTTTCATCACCGTGATTTATTATGCCTTCAAGTAGCATAGAATTCGGTTCTGTTTTGCTGATGACCTGTCAAAAATGATAGGTTTAATTAATAATTAATAATTATAAAAGGGGTGAAGTCTCAATGCTTACAATAATTTATTAGACCAAATCAATCTGGGAAACAACCAAAGTGCCGAATATACCGAGAGTATTAATAACTTAGATTGGGCTTGCTTAGTTGGCCCACGAAACAAACTGCTTTAAATGATGTTTGAAACGCTCGTAAAGTTTGTAATTGAGAGTTTAAAGGAAATTGGAGTGAGACTTTCTCCAAAGATAATATCATCGCGAAATGACATTAGCTCAATTTTTTCTGCTCATTCTGTTGTGTCAACCGTTTTAAGTACCACTGCACCAATGAGGACTTGCTTGTTAAATTTTGCGAAAATTAATATTTGCATGTCAAATTTCGAGTTATTGGTAATATTTGTTTTTTTTACATCATCTTTGTCAAATTTGAATGGTGAACTATGAGAATTTTGTAATTTTATTGGTCCAATTTTTATTGATGTTTAACGCCAGTTCAAAAAAAGGCAACTATGCTAGGCCTTATCAGATCCAGGAAAGCATGAACAGAGAATTCAACTTGCTGCAGGTGAGAAGTAAGGCGGAAAGTTTGCCGAGTTCATAACCGATGACTGAAACCAGCAGTTCACAAAAAAAATGACAGACATCTAAGCCTTAAATAATCAAGAACATTATAGGTAAGGATCCGCAGTAAAATAGTATTCATGATTGTGTTGTTGGAGAACTTATAGTAATAGACTAAAAATGAAGAAAGTAATAATCAAGCCTAGAGACGTTACTGATGTAGAAGAGGCCCTTAAAAAAGATAAATATATTGCGCATGATCAAAAACGTGATCAAAATATAACCCACAGGCAAGCGATATCCTCGTGTATTAATGATCTTTTTTTGGAATAAATTATAAATAACATCTTATCATATATTGATAAAAATAACTTCGAAAAAATACTCTGTAGAAAGAAGAAAAAAATAGCACAATCTCAGGCTTATACTAAGGAGAACAAAATAAAATTTATGGGATTAGCATAGAGACGTCTGACTCGTAAAGACGTGGATGTCATTTGCTTATCGCATTTTTTTCTTATCAATAACCAAAAACAATAAGATATTTTGCAAAAATAAATTGAAGCGAAAGCATACGAGTGAGAGTTAACAGCAAGTAAAGTGGACAAGAATGAATGACAAGAGTGTGCAAGAAGGTAGATAAATAGGCAAGAGCGAAAACAATAGCATATGATAAATGGACAAGAGCGAGTGAGACAAGAGATAAATGAGCGGACAAACAAACAAAGCGTAAATGGAAATAGACAAGAAAGCGAAAGTGGGCAAGAGTGGTAAAGAGATAAGTAAGGTCATATGTGGTTTGTTTCTTTTTTACGTCATACGACCATTTGAATTGTTATACTTTTTAAAATTTTGTTTCGTAGAAAATTCATAATTTCGAGGGACGAGGAAAGTGAATTACATATACAGACTTATTGATTCGGCTTTAGCTATTCCATTTAATTTTTGTTATATGCAAATTTTATAAGTTCAGTAATTTATTTAAAACATTAATTACAGAATTAATGGCAATTCTATAATAGCTATGAAAAGAGTAGCTTTGGATATTTTTTTATTTTAAGTGGAGCGCATACATTTAGTTAAATAAAAACATTGGAAAAATAACGAAATTTATTTATACAATCAAATCTCGTTAATATAACAGCCTCATTTATATGATCAAATCATACAATACAGTCCATATTGGACTGTACGTTATTATGACATATTAATTATGACATTTTGTCTTTCTGTGTATATTAACGAAGGCCGACTGTGATATGTCGTTAGTCCGTAATAACCGAAAGATTAATTTCCTAAACTTTAAATATAACTCGATTGCAGAAAGGAAAATTTAAATCTTCCTAATTCTACTCTTAGTGATTGGAAAATGAGTTTGGCAACTATTTATAATTTCTAATTAAAAGCGTATACATGACATTATTCGAAACTATGTATATAGAGTTATTAATGAAGTGTTCCAGTTTATACTAAAGAATATAATCCATTTCAGAGCTGCGCCAGATATTTTAATATAAACTGGCGCACTCTATTAACAATCATATATGTATGCTATTTTTAAAAAATACGATTCTTAAAATAACATCCATGGATGTTATTTTGAAAATATGATAAGAATCAATTGATAATTTAATAAAAAAGAAATATAGTAAATTATTATATAAAATTAAAAGTCTAAAATAAGTAACAATTAAATTCTATAATTATAAAGTTCAATATAAATTATTAAAGTTATATATAATTTAATCTTATTAATATTCATATTGCATCTAATAAAAGAAAATCTACTAAAAATATTTAAATAATATTCTTAATTTTTCTAAAAAGACATTCTGTATATTATTAAATATTTATTTATACATTAGAAAATTATTAGTAAAAAATATATATAAATTATTATATAAGAAAATTCAATTAAAATTAAGATTAATCTTTTAAAACAAATTTTGTTAATTTAGCATTTTGAAAAGTATATATATTTTATCTATTATAAATTCAAGCTATCAAAAAATATTAAAAGTATATAATTTATAGTTTGTAAAAAATAATATTTTTATAAAAGCAATAATATAGAAATTTACTAAGAATTTATTTTAATATAAAATCTTTTTTATTTGAAATATATTATATTCTTTTATAAATATAGTTAGAATTATAAAGTATAATATTGGCAAACTATTATAAATAATGATTATATAAATATAATAATTCTTTATAATTTTGTAAAATAATAATATTTAGTTAAGTTTATATTATTAGAATAAAATGCTAAAATACAATTGCAATAAAAGAAATATTAATTATAAATAAATAAATACCAAAAATTAG